AGGAGTAATGTTAAAAGGCTACACAGATTCTGACTTTGCTGGTGATTTAGATAAAAGAAGATCAACATCTTCATATGTTTTCACTTTGTGTGATGGTTGCATTAGTTGGAAATCACAACTGTAAAAATTAGTTGCACTTTCTTCTACAGAAGCTGAATATATTGCTGCATGTGATGCAGTAAAAGAAAGTCTTTGGCTTAGGGGTTTACTAAATGAAGTGGGTTTTGGAAATAATACTGTTAAGATTTATACTGATAACCAAAGTGCCATACACCTGAGCAAAAATCCTGTATACCATGATAGGACTAAACATATAGATATAAAATTCCGCTTTGTGAGAAATATGGTAGAAAAGGGTTTGATTGAATTGGTTAAAGTTCCTACAGAATTCAACCCATCAGATTTAGGAACCAAAGTGTTACCCCTGAATAAATTTAAAAATTGCTTGAAGATTTTGAATATTACATGAAGGTGTAACATTGTAAACTTCAAGTGTTTATGTTGAAATTTTTGAACTAATTTTTTTTTGTTTTTTGTAGGTACTGAGAGCAAATGAACCAAAATGTGAGATGAAACTCGAGATTCACTAATTAAAGTCAAGAAATAGTTCAGCAAGGTGGAGGTTGTTAGTAATAATGGGCTGCTTCACTATTACTTGATGGCCCAAAACAAAAGGAAATTCACTAAATGGACTTGGACCATTATCATTAACGGGCTGATAAAAACGTGTCTTTGTGAAATGCGATTTTATGCCTCTTATGGGAGGGGATCTGCCGCCAACGTGGCATCATCCCAACCCTTGGATTGTGGTAGTTGACTGATCAGATATTTATCTTGATTTTGGCTCTCATTCTGGATGCTTCGATTATTCTGTCCTTTCGCCTCTTCCATTTTCTCTGAGTGAGAGACTAGGGTTTCGATTTTACTTTGAATATTGAAAATGTTCTTCGTGATCTTCTCAATCTGTATACTTTGTGATATTTTAGATTGTTGTGTACAATCTGTGAGTGATTGAGAGTCTTATAGTTAGGTTTTTAAAGGAGGCGAAAGGAATATCGAAAGAACTTGGTTCCTTCGTACATCTGTACTAATTCTTGGTGTTTTTCTTAGTGAAATCTTGAGCTATATCTCCCTTGGGGATGCTCAACGGGTGACTAGGGCAAAGCTGAACATCCGGGCTCTTTTTGAGGGCAAAAACATATTGTTGTGTTCGATTTCTTTTCTGAAAGTTTATTTCTATTTTTTGAATATCTCACGATCCAACAAACACTTGGGGTGTTTTGACGTAACACTAACAAATATGACAGTAAGGAGATTGAGCTAGAGAATGAGGATATTGAAGAATGGTAGTACAAGAACGTGAAGTTGCAGATGAATTATATGATGAAATTTCTGAACCAGATGTTGGCGTATCAGTTGGAAATTCATCTTCATAAGAGATGGCCTGGGGGTTGAAAACCGGGTTATGACCTTCCGTTAACTGGGCATCTAATATTGTGGGTGTTTGAAGAGAAGATCATAAATTAGTAGAAAAATATGAAAAATAAGGGCATATAAAAATGCACACAACTTTTAGATCGGGTGTTAGATTTACGCGAGTGAGTGCAGTTCGACGGTGTTTTTTCATTCTCTATAGTTTGCTAGGGTGACAATTGGCCTTCGTTATTTTCATCATTTTTGCAGTTTTAGAGTTGTATTTGAATATGTTTACTGAATTGAGTTTTTGTTTCGACTCCTCAAATATATGTTAAGGGTTTTAAAAATCTACAGCCGATTATTCATCAGGAAAATATTTCTATTTTTTTGTTCTCTAGTGGATTTTAGTATTTTTCACGAGTTCTCACGAAATTCGAACAATACCTATTTATATGTTACGAACAAGGCCCTATTATTATTATTATTATTATTATTATTATTATTATTATTATTATTATTATTATTATTATTATTATTATTTCCGTCATGCGTCAACAATACATTTAGCAATTTGTTTCACAAGTCACGGCTCATCCATCACACTACTCGGTGTACTATATGTAATTCGCTGAAATTGTGTGATTAATAGAAAGTTAGTCATCAATTTTTAAACAAGAGCGAGTTGATGAATTGCGAAATCGATACTAGCATATCTTATAAATTGTTTGCCTTCACGTTCTATTTTTATGAAGCTAAGTTATATTTCTAAACTTGGCTCGATGCAGGTAGTGAGACATATTTCACAAGAGTTGAGTGATAAGTCAAAGAATATTTGGATAATTTCTATCATTTTAAGACTCGTAGTGCAACTGTAATGAGTAGTTAAAGGTTGACTTACCTCTTTTAAAGTTTTGAGACCTACTGGTTAAATAAATTGGGAATGAGTGCGATTTTTTTCCAATTAATTGTATTAGGAAACATTCATAACTATAAATGTTTCAATATACAATTTCAAAAATAACAAACTTTGTGATTTTTTTATTTTTATTTTTTAAATCAAGTGGTCACAATTATGACCTCTGAGAAAATGTTGCGACCTATAATTTAATTAAACAGGTCACGATTACAATAACATAATTTATGATCAATGTTTCATACTAGTCACAAATCATAAAGGGTCATAGTCATAAATACACAATTTGTGGGTCACAATTATATGTTTAGTTGCAAAATTAGACATTTTAATAGATCACAAATTATTTATTATTCACAAATTACCCACTAAATTGATCATAATCCCACACCACAATCGCTGACACAATCTAAATCATCACTGCCACCTCAAATTCGCAACGTCCCTACACCACCACCTTCACCTCAAATCCACCACAACCACTATGTCACCCCAAGAAAATAATAATAATAATAAATCTAAGCAAAGCAAAAATCACAAAAAATAAAAATAAAAATAAAAATAAAAATAAAAATAAAAATAAAAAAATGCAACAAGTTATAATAAAGATTTTAGTTACCACAGATCTGGTGCCAGATGACGTCAATGGAGACACCAAGGGTATTGATAATGTCATATAGGCCCATCTAAGAAAGCGAGTGCAGCTTCATGAGCAAAGACCCTTTTAGCTCCAACACCAATTTCATGTAAAAGTCATGGTGCAATGCATACGATAGTGATGGAGCAACTCTAGAGCTCTTCCTAATAAGAAAGTGCCATAAAATTTGGAAGGGCTACACTCAAAAGCTAACAATTGAGATTAGATAACCCAGACCTATATAGACCACATAAAAGAAGCAGGCTTCGATGTAAAATTAAAATTCTCACAAGTTCCACTGAAACCATGACAAACTACCACGTTTTTGACCCCAATGCCCACATGGGTAGGCACCCATACACCAACCGGGGGTTTTGAAACATAATACTTGCTCTAATACCAATGTCATAGAACTTGAAAGAGTTACACATCAAAAGCTAGCCATTGAGTTAAGGGAACCCAAGCCTAGATAAACCCTACAAAGGAAGCGTATACTTCTGATGTGGGATTCAAACCCCCATAAGTTCCACTTGAACCATAACAGGAATCTCGATATGGCAGCCTTCATTTTAAGCTTAGAGTGAGGAAAAATTGAAAGGAGACAAAAATGAATTGACAATGTGAAGAATAGAGAATGGGAGATGTGGCAGCACAACTAGAACTAAAAGCGACAGCACCCAAAAGCTACAGAAATAGCAACAGCAGATGTTGTCGACGGTAGGTTAGGGTGGATTAAGGTTGGTGGCTCCATTAAGTTCTTACAGATTTTGGGCCCTACATGTTGTTGTGAGACCAATTAAAGTTGGGGGTCATGTTTGGGAAGTGATTCCTTCGATGATAGGTGATATGTCCGATAGTTTAGGACCTTCAGGTGGTAGTTCAGGGCAGAGTGAGGGTAGCAACTTGGAGTCGGTAGGTTGCGGTTGGTTGATAGAGGGAGGGGTTGGTTTAGTTTGGTTGGATGGGGCAGGGTGGGATGATATATATATATATATATATATATATATATATGATTATTAAAGAACTTGTGGCAAGTCTAACTAGTGCTTTATATAAATTTTTAAATATATTTTGAGTTGAACCTCATCATGATACAATAATACGTGTGTGTATATATATATATTGAAGAATACTACAATCTGTTTGGATGGAAACATCGAAGACTGTCATCCAATTACTGTAAAATTATTACGTAGAGACCAGCCACCATTGTCCAGTATTGATGAATTAAGTTTTCAACTGCACTCTTTTTTTTTTTTTTTTTTTTAAAACAAA